TTAGGTGTATATGCGGTATTTTCTTTTTTTTCTATTTCATTATTCATAATTACTACTGTATTACTTTTACACAACTGGAGATCACTTTATTCATGCTACTGAAATTCCGTTGTAAAACTACTCCGGGCCTTGAGTCATGGAGTTCCGGCTTCCCTCGCCGTAATCAGCTTTTTGGCTATTGCTTACAAACAATTACATAATGGTTTCGTGTGCAATCAGAATATATGTATATATATGACTTATTGAAATATGCGTAATCGGACCTACGGGTGAATATTCTTCACATGCCATCCGGTATTGTTCTCCTCCCATCGATTTCGCCAGGCATCCGAAGAGAACGGGTCTGAACTAATACATTAAAGATGGCAAAGACTTACCGTCGCACATGGACTCAACACCTAAATTCAACGAGATAAATGGGAAAGATGGATAACAAAATTTAAAGATCCCGTACGGGTGCTAGTGCTAGTGTTTCAACAGCCTGAATGTTAGCGTTGCACAGCGGACTTTTACTGTCTAATGGCAGGTAGACAATAAAAACTGATTATTAGGTTACCTGGAAAAAGACTGACAGCCATACTTAGTTAACATGCTTATGATCAAATACAATTCCTAAAAATCATTAGAAATGATAAATATAAAACTGTTTCATCCTGTATTGTTACAGAATGGGAGAGAGAGGTAACAGTGTGGTGCACAACACGCTTCGGAGCTGGACCTAATCGCTGCTTCCAGTAATGCTCAAAAACTTTTCCCATTAATCCGGGCCGCTATAACAAAAAACTATGCGTGATTGAGACCATATACATAACGGTATTGACTTGGACACTGGGCGGGACAATTCAACAGCAATTCAGTTGGTCATCGATGTCAGTGCCTCCATCTTCTAGAGTACACAGTACTCCATCGTGCGGGCACTTCACTATCTCGAGAGCTTAGAACTATGAAACGCCACAGATTACCGAACCAGATGAGCTCCTTCCGACTCCGTTTACAGAGAGTGGTACACGACTTGCTCAAGAACTAATTTTCTTATTCTATTCCATTCGACTGGAGTCTGCGGACATTGTGCCTGTTTTCAAGAAGGGCCCTCGAGGGAATAGCCTCATTTCCGTTGTATCCAAGTGGATCACCTCGCTGATCCTTCACAGACTCAGTTGAACAGGGGAGGGTCATATCCATGAAGAACAAGCTTGGGCTGCATTGGCCACCTCTTCACTCTGCATCAGATACTCGAGAAATGTCAAACGCTCAGTAAACCAACCATTGCGGTCTTTTTGGACGAGAGAAGTTTGACACTTGCTCGGCTTCAAACTTCCTGTTTGATTTCGTAATGGACGAAATCTTAAGCAGCTAGTTAAGACACTGCAAGACCTCCGGAGCACAGCTTCTTTCAGGTTATCGACTTTGTGATTTACTTCACGCAAACGACATCATCTACGCCTTCCAAAAAGCTCAAAACGTCCTGTGCAAGTATGGGTTGTCTGTTAGACAGTTTGAAATGACCCTCTTTAATCGAAACGCAAGTTCTTAAAACAACAATATCTTCCTTGACTACGCTACCATGATTTGTCAAGCAACTACCTGAGTAGGAGAAACATTCCACTGTAGCTAATCCTTAACCATCAGGCGTTAGAGCCGGAGTAAACAACGCTCAGTCTTGTTGCATCACTTTACACTTCGAAAGTGCACAGCAAAAAACAAATGGAGTTACAGAACTTGGAAGTCTATCAAGAGTGCATTGCGCATCCTCCATACATTCGAATATACAAACGATGTCAGTGTACTCCAAATCGAACAGCTTTTCTCCAGTTGCCAGTTTAACATCGGAGACCACTAAGTGCGTCCTTCAGTCTTTCGTGTACGACGAAACTGAATAAGAATGGCGGAGTGGGGCACCCTTGACAAACACTGCTCCTGATTTAGAACGATTTGCTTACTTCAAAGTAGGCCTTTATGCTACCAAAAGTATTACATTGATCTCAATAAGCTGACATTCCTGGCATTCCTCTGCGCAGCAGCGAATTGATACGGGGTTCATGGTCAACTGAATCCAAAGTTCTTTTTAGGTCAAGGAACACTGCAATTGTTGGTTGACGATATGTTGTGTAATTCGAGGACTCAATGCAGAATGAAGATTTGGTCTATTTAACAGCGACCTGGCCGGAATACTGCTTGCTGTTTGCGGATAATCATCTCTTTTAAGAGTGTCGGGCAGTGGTGTCACATAAGATAACACCTTTGTGATGATCGCAACTAAATTTAACCCAGGTCGGTTTGCGCAGTCGTTACGTGATCCTTTCTGGAAGATCGGAACAATCAGTAGTTCACCCCTGAAATAGCCTCTGCTGAAGAAGTCC